TAACAAAAGTTGTTTGTCACATACATAGATAGAACATATGAAATGTATTGATATTTGAATATATAGAAGACATAAGTGTATATGTTTATTCTTTTGTTATCAATTGATTTTGTTATCTTATATATGACATGTTTGATAACTGCTTTTTAATAGACTGTACTGTTTTAGAGTGCTACTTTTATTTCTTATTCTTCGGTTTAGTGCTCCCAAAAATGTCGGAAATTTATGATGCTGAATACGACAAGGTATAAAAAGTATCTGAATATATATTGAAGTATATTCTTTTTTTAAGATATTTAATTATTAAATATATTTATTATATAAGATATTTAAATATTAAATATTTAATTAAGCTTTACTTAATCAACAAATGTATTTTTAATCGTAATTCTTTTATAGCAAGTTTTTCAAAAATTTTCATTCACATATGCATGATAAGAATATATTAGTAACAAAATCTTAATTCTAAAATTTATGTAGATATTTATTTTAATGATATTACTTTATTGTTTTTACATAGGAACATCCAAGAAATCTTATTCCAGAACTATGTCGGCAGTTCTATCATCTCGGATGGGTGACTGGTACCGGTGGCGGTATCTCCATAAAACATGAGTTAATGTCAATATAATATTTGTCCTGAAAAGACTCGATCATCTCTTTTTATGTAAAGATATATAAAGACATTTATTAAAATTCCTATTCTACAGAGATAAAATCTACATAGCACCTTCTGGTGTACAAAAAGAACGGATGGCGCCCAATGATTTGTTTGTGCAAGATATCAATGGAACAGATTTGGAACTGCCTCCGTCAGAAAAGAAACTCAAGAAGTCACAATGTACACCATTGTTTATGTGCGCATATTTAAAACGGCATGCAGGTGCTGTGATTCATACACATTCCAAATTTGCTGTGATGGCAACATTATTATGGCCTGGCAAGGAAGTCAGACTCACTCATCTTGAAATGATAAAAGGTACATCTATGTTATCTCCGAGTCTATGCAGTTGATTTCAAATTAATAATGATGCAAAACTATTTGACTTATGTAGGCATATGGAATCAGAAATTAGGCAGAGCATATCGTTATGACGAGGAATTGGTGATACCCATTATAGAAAATACTCCCTTTGAGAGAGACTTAACGAACGATTTAGATGAAACTATCGTTCGTTACCCCGAAACATGTGCAGTGTTGGTACGCAGACATGGAATTTACGTATGGGGCGATTCTTGGCAACAGGCAAAAACTATGTAAGTTCTAGTAAGTTATTCTATTACATGTTACATGAAGCAATGATATTGTGTAATTTTTTGTCTTAAAATGTATTTCTTTTTTTTGTAGGACGGAATGTTACGATTATTTGCTTGATATTGCAGTTCAAATGAAACAACATGGATTAGACCCATTAAAAACTCCAAATGATTATGAATTAAAATATCAAGCAAATAGTATGTTAGAATAGTCTGTAATTAAAAGTTGATTCTTTTGCTGCCATAATTCTATATTTTTGAGCTACATGCATTTTAGGATATATATGCTTGTTAGAATATATATAAAAATTAAAATAAATTACAAAATTTTGATTATAATTACACATATTTTATAACTATATACACCATTGTATGCTTGCCAGATGTAAATAATACGGATATTTTCAAGTATCTATGTCATATGGCGCAAATTGTTTTCTAATTTTCTTTGCCAGTTCAGTCTCTTCTTCTTGGCTCATATGACAATCTTTCCAATCGGATCTATCATTGATATCTAATATTCTATCAGATGCTAACACTTCTCTACCGAATTGTAACGGGAAATCCGTCTTGATTCTATAATACAATACTTTTCCATCTGGTAATTCTACATAAAAATATAGTACGCCGGGTTTAGCAATCTGCTGCAAATCTGTGTGCGGCGGTAGCTCCGATATTTTGAAATTGTTACATTCGGCCAGTTCCTAAAAATAGAATTAAAAACGTTTGATGCTAAAGTAAACGATATTAAATATTTTTCAATGTGGTAATGAAAAGAAATATACCTCAAACATTTCCTTCAGTGCGGGTGCTTGGTTTTTATGAACAGGTACCACTTGCAATTGACAGTGAGATGTTTTGAAATTTCTCTCAAAAAACACAGGTACTCTGTTGGTACTCTCATAGTACTGAGTCACAGCTTTTTTATAGAGATCCATCTCCTCCTTTACATTCTTTGGTAAAATCGACAGACTCTGATGATGCGTTATCGGCAAAATTAAGAAATGATCCTCTACTAAGCCACCTCTTGCTAATGCTAAGTAGATTTCTGTACCAATAGATATCACCAGATGCTTTGACACCACTGGACTGGATAAACAGAACCAGCATTTTGATTGATCAAATTCCATCTTTGTTTTCTTATTGCCACTATTCTGATGCCGTGATCTCTTTGCATTGTCTTTTGAATCCATATCATAGAAGAATTGTGTTTGAATTTGTTTCTGTGAAGTTGGATTGTCGGACAACATGGATTTAGGATACGGACTTGGCGTTTCGTCTGTAGTTTTCATAACTAAATCTGACAGTCTAGTTCTGTCGACGGGAGTTAAATTCAATGCATATAACCATTTCTTCTTTTGGTCATTCAGTATTGGTGCAAGAGCTATAAATCTAGTCGCTATTTCCATACTTTCATCACTCGAACTTTGATTTCTGTAATAATTTTCAACATTTTTTCCAAACAATTCTGTCTTTATGAATCTCTCTGGAGATGAAAGTGTTCAAACTAGATTTTGATTAGAAATATTATTTATAAAAAGACAATAAAGAAGACAATAGAAATCTGAGAAGTAACTGAACAATTTTCAATTAGAATCCATTCTGAACAATTCCATAATGTTTCCAAGATAACACTTACCGATATGGTGGCCGTTCGTAATAAATTCCTTGCAAGGCCGATACATGATATCTAGGTTTAATATGAGTAGCAAGCCAAGCAATTAATTTTGAACCTTCATACTTGTATTCCGGCTTGTTAGGATCCAAATTGATAATGCCTTCTGGCCATGGAGACGTTAACAAGATATCGACACCGCGAAAACTCGGCTGTCCTTTTAAGCAACTGTTCCTGACAGATACAACATCGTGTTCGTCAAAGTGAATAGCCTTGTTTTTCATCGAGACTTTTTCTATTCCGCTAAGATATACTATTTTAAGACCCGAACTAGTAGTATACAGACCACGTTTTCCGAGATATGTAAGATTGTGACATATATCGTATCCTTCCTCATCAGGATAATTTTTCACATCTGACTCCCGGTTGGGACCGATGATACACGTCGGTACTGGAATGGTTTTCTCGCCAGTTTTATACGATTCCAATTCGGAATTATCTGCACCGAAGAAATTGCCAACGCATAACAGAAAATCGAACGGACCGTTCTTCTTATTGATAACTTCTACTTTGGAAAACAGGAACTTGAAATGTCCTTCCACATCGCCGCAAATAAGGACTTTTTGCTTGTCACTCATATTCGTTTATGGTTTACTAACGTCCTCGAGCACTTCCAAATTGTTTTATAAAAACACCTTTGGCTTATTTTTGCATGAATTAAATTTCAAAAATAATCAAGTTATCTTTCCAAGTATAACTTGTTCAATTGTTTGTGACACGATCTAACCTCATTCTGATAGCAGATTTTCACTTCTAGGGTGCGTTCGGGGAGCTCGCCGTGCCATCAACGCTACCGACTGAGCTCACGGAGCCAAAATAGCACTATCGAATGCGAAAAAAAATTAGAAATAATAAAAAGGAATATAAATCCAAGAAGATATATACCGAGAATCGAAAATTATCCAAAAAACAAAGTTTAAAACAATTATTTTAATTCTAAAAAAATTATTTATAAATTTTTAATATAAAAAAATATAAATAATATAAATAATATTTATATTAATTAAATTAAATTTTAATCTTTTAATTTTAAATTTTTTATCGAAATTTATCAAAAACTTTAAAATCTTTGGATTGACGAGCGAGCTCCTCGAACGCACCCCTAATAGATTTATACTTTTGACTATAGCTGCATTCCGATATTCATTGCCTGAACTGAAAATATAGTTAGAAAATATAGTTAGAAAATATAGTCACATATATTATAGAAGCATAGCGAAATATTTGAAGATATGTATTATAAGCAGTTGTTTTATCATTTATAAAGAAATATAGATTTTATTATTATTATGTAAGAAATATAGATTTTATCTTTACATCTTTACATCCTTATCAAAAGATTTAACATAATTCTTATACAATACAAGAATGAAATAACTAAAACTAAATTGTGACATCTATATTAATTAAATTAACATTAACTGACACATTATCAGAAAAAAAACAAGATCAATGTTAAAACCAATAAAGTAAATATTTTATTTATTGATTAATGTGAAAGTATACATTTTATACATAAATAATAAAATGTTATAATTATTTCAAAATTAAATTAAATATATCAATGCAAGAATATTGATAGTGGAAAATTATGAAGATTTCTTCTTAAATCTCTGTAAAAGAAATAAAATATTATAAAAGAAAGTAACAAAAGATACTATGTATTAAAAAAAGAAAAGAATTTTTAAGAGAAATATTTATTTATTTATCGAACGTATTTATCAAAGATTTTCTAACTTTTATAATATACAAATATTAGTCTATTTATTAAATATTTTATTATTGTAAAATATACAAAATTTAAATAAATTTCTAAAAAAATGTAGAAAACAAAAACAAACATATAAATATATATTAAAATATATATTAAACCATATATTTAAAAAAAAATCAAGGTTTTCAAAAGAATGCATATTATTGTGACGATTCATGCTGTCCCCATGAGACCAAGAAAATAAATTTGAATATCGTATTTATTCATTAGGTCTTCCTTTGAAAACGATGCTTTTTTTGAAAAACAGTATCTATCTATTCAAGTGTCACTTTTGATGATTCAGGTGTTTCAAATGCAAGGTAATTCCAAATTGCACGTACGTGACATAAACAAAGAAAATGTATAACAAGGGAAATAAAATAAATGATTGATGTTTTTGAAAAATTCTTGTTTACACAATTTAAAACGCATTAGAAATATATTTGACAAAAATGTCTTTAAAAAATCATTGATTGATAATCAGCATTCTTATCAAAATTTTTCATATATCGCATCTGTTGCTTGAAATATGATGTACGGTACAAGAGTTTTTCAAATCGATTGATATAGTAAACGCGAAGACAAATAGATGTAATATAGATTTACGCATAAGCTTCGAATTATCTATTTGCTCTTTCTTTTCAGGGAACTAATAAAATTAATTTTGTGAGACAACTGTGATGTAAAACTTATCATATAGTGAACAGCAATAGGAACAGGCAATAAAGGCAATAAAAAAAGTATAAATCGAATCACTGTAATTACATGTTAAAAACTATTAAATATAATAATACATATAATAATAAATATAATAATAAATATAATAAAGAAATGTATTTTTTATATATAATAAAGAATTATCTGAATTATAAAATCTTATTATAATTCTTTTATTTATTGTACAAGAATTAGAAGGCATAATTAATATATGTGTATGAAATAATAAAGAATTAAAAAAATAAAAAAAATTTTTAACGCAAATAATTAATTTAATCTTATTTATAGTTTTTCAAAGTTCTATATTGTTATTTTTATTTCTTTAATTAATTTCTTTTTTTCTCTCAACTATTCTATCAACTACTCTCAACTCTTCGATTAACCATCGATCTTCTCTATGTGATTTGAGAAAATATGTTTTTCTCAATTGGCAATGCCGCATTAATTACAACGATACACACACACACACACACACACACACACACACACACACACACACACACACACACACACACACACACACACACGACGAC